AGTGCCGCTACACCGAACCTCGCCCTTGGTGCAGTCGGCCCCACGTACCACTGCACCGAACTAAGGCCTTGGTGCAGCCGTTGCACTAGTACCGTTGCACCGGTACCGCTGCACTTGTCAAGGCCTAAATATAGTGCGTTCCTAAAACGAAGTAAAGTTAATAAACTAATTATACACTAATTTTTAGAAGGGCAACTTTATCCATACAGTAATATAATCTTCTATAAATGACTTAAAGACTTAAGGAGATAGTACTAGTTTATCTTTTATCGTACTAAGATCACCTAATTCTCCTCGAGAAAGTTTCTACCTTCTAGATATATTAGCGAGTAACTTACCTCAGATTTGATTTAAGAACCTATAAGACCTAGTTCTTCGCTACACTATCGTACTTATCGTGAGTAGCTAGTGCTAAGTCGGGTTACACGATACGATTCTCCGATTACTCCTACTCCTTTTAGTACTAGAGCGTAAACCCTCGTAATACTATAAGTTTAGCTCGTGCCTTAAGAATCTCGCTAAGGTCTTTTCCTTAAATTACCATTATATTAAATAGGTAGAAAAGTGTGATAGTTTCAAAAATTTGATGGTTTCTTAAGATGGCTTTCAACAAAAAGATGGCGTAGGAGACTTCGATTTAAAAACTACCAGTCTTGATGTGTTGGGGGGCGGACGGGTGGGTATAAGTAAGCTCACCCAGGGTGAGTGGGACTCACACCCTCGGTGCATAGGATGCTCACCTAGGGTGAGAAGTTACCGCCGCTATCACCCCAATTTTTCACACCCAGGCTAATAAGGTTTCATCGCTGCTTAAAGGGGAAAAGGCATATTGAATGATCGATTGACTAGATCAGTGTGGCTTAAGTACGGCTGAGCGGACGGGAAGCCCTGTTTTCCACACCCTATGGTCGTATGTGTCAGGTCCTGCATGGGAAAAGATCATAGAATTAATTCAGTAGTCTCAGCTAGTGATTGATCCAAGGTTGTCCGTCCTAATTGTATAAAATAGATAAAAAAGGCATTGTAATATGCGAAAAACACAATTAGAACCCGATATCGTCTATTAGATTTTCAAGTATTGGTGTTATCGAATATTGGGACAGAATATATATACAATGAACGAGATATATACTTCTATCACTAACTAAACTCCAATTTACACACTACACCTGTAACTCCTATTCGTCCCTGGATCTATACAAAGAGACAAGGAAAGCTAGAGAGGGAGATCATCTAGAGGGAACTGCGGCTCAACCACTACATGCGGGCCGATCGAGTCGAGTGAACTTGCGTGGCTCGGCACCTGGGTGCGATGAGGAATGGGGACCTTAGGATGACAGTGATACGACGTGGCTGAATCCTAGTCAAATGGTATCTGACATATTGGAATACATATGTTAGCTGAATGCTTTAGTTCCCGCTCACTCCGTATAATCTGGACTGGTTCGATCTCGGTAATGAGGCGAATTGACCCTCCATAAGGCATGCCCCCCGCGATGAACTGATTGCCATTACATCATCAACAAAATGGGAATCTTGGAAGGCTCTAGACCTTATGTACCATTACTGTTAGCATTGGAGATATTCCAGTTTCCGGGGCCAGTTTCAGGTCGCTGGTAAGCTTCCACCTGGGACTACTATGGAGGATTAGCTTGCCAGGGACCCCAACTTTGGAAGTAAGCGCCTGGTTTTGTTGAGGTACGCATATCATGAGTATAAAATCCGCAAGTAGTGGAGTGGCATGTTTGATAGGTTTGTTCTTTATTCTTTGGTCACATGCTCACATTCTATCGTAATATCGTATCACGTTCCTATTCACTCTGTTCCCCGCAGCATTGGCCTTAACATATCAACAAATCTACCTACGGAGCCAATTTCAATGATTTGAATCTGATCAGAAACCAGGGCAAAATAGTGGCTTAGGCTAGTGTATTGGGCATTCCCGTATAGCGATCACCCGGGTAGTTACCGACATTTTTCTTTATTATGCTAGAGCATTCTTACCCACAAATATTGACTTTTACTGAATAGCAGTATGGCAAGCTTCCAGCCAGTTCATTTTGTGCCGAAAAATCGCCAGGATGAAATTTTGGCTTTGCCTGTGACACAGATCCTTGCCGTGCCGCATAGTCAAAATGTAGGAACAAACCATTGGTGTCTTTACCTTTTGGTATCTCCTGAGAGATCTGTCCAAATTGATTGCCAGCCAAGCTACAGCGCTCGAAGCTCTATTCTCCAAGGGGGTTCTAAAGCCCATTTCATCGTTTCAGAGTTGATATGTAAGGTGCTCGATGATGCCCAAGCGGAGTTCATTATCGATGTCATTCCCGGGCTTTCGGTCTCGCGAATCTACGATTTGCTCATCAGAAATGGGCGTCACAAGTATGAATTTGATGCAAATGGAGTGGGGTGCAGATGCTGGACTCTTGGTCAAATCGATCTTTTACATCAAGTCCAATTTGCCACAAATGTGAATCAAATCACGGCGGCAAGATCTGCCATACAGAAACTATGGCCGGAACAGACCCCGCTGGCTCTTGACCAGGGGACGTATTATTCGTAAGGCACATGTGTATCGCGGATGTGCTGTTGGAGTTTCAAGCAGCCCAAGTGGCTGTATGGACAATGCATGACTGCGCAACTGAATATTTTGATTCTATTTATGCTTTGTATCTACTCTTCCTCCTTGGTTTCCTCATTCCAGAAGTTTTCGATTTTGAAGGTGTAGCTGGAGTCTTGCTTTCCACCAATCGAACATCTGAACATCCCGATGTCACGAATATTTCCAGTTTCTGGTACAATATAGACCGCCAGTTGTCCACATCACCGTAGTAAATTTTACGAAGTGGATGCCTGTATGCGGATTTGCTTATCCTAATTCTATGGGGTTATTTTATTTTGTTTTTCTTGGTCTGAGCACCTTGACAGAAATAGCTCAAAGTACGACAAGAAAGGGAGGGTGCATAGTAGAATGAGGAATGAGGGAATCGGAGAACTGATCAAAACCTGTGGAATCATGATCTTCGCCCCCGGAAATGCTGTAGAATCTATTTTCTTCATTCATTCATTCATTCTTTTTTCATTTTTTATTTTTATTTTTATTTTTTTAGGGAGGGAGGTGAATAATTGAAAGAATATGCTTTTGTTGGTGTCAGATTAGGTGCACGAGAGACATTCTTTATGGACACTCTTTTCTATCGAAGGGACTTTGAAACGAGGCTTGTACGAAATCCACTTCGCAATCCTAGGTATGTATTTGGAAACATCTCCCGATGTCTTTGTTCTTATTCAATCGCCCATAGCCAGACACCACTCCCTCTCGTTGTGCTTATGGATCATCCGCCGAGTCTCTAAGTTTATTCTTTTAGGTTAATATTCTTTCATTGTATAGAGAATTTGCACGAATTTGAGATCCACAAATAATATGAAAAATTTGAGCGCTAGTCGAGTCAAAGGACTCGGGGACTCGGACTCGGAGGAGGGGGATAATATATTGAAGAGGCGCCAGCCCGCACTTATAAAAGCGTCAGCAATGCCCTCAACTGCTTTAGGGAGTCTGGAGTTCCCCTATTTGACATGCCACCATGAACTCCAGCATGTATATGTGGAAGTACGTACAGCGTCGTGATGAGCCACCACGAACTTATGCGTTCGAAGAAGAAAGATTGAAAGCGCTCAACGACCAAGCAAGGCCAGCTGCAGATGTGGCTAGAATCTTAGATGAAGCGCAGGTTCCCAATGTCCTCTGGGGCATGATGGCCATTTGTTTAGTTGGCGAATGGAATGACGACGAAGATGTAAGTGCCGCCCATATCTTGTTGTTAGATCTAAATCTAACCCTCTAGGATGTCGAATTCTTGGTTCTTGATCATCTGATCACGGCGGCCTCTAATGCCTTGGTCGCTGCTGGATTCACACCTTGCACAGACCCTGGCTGCCGGGCAGTACAGACCGAGAAGAATCATCACCCCATTCCTGCGGTGCATTTTCACCTCAAGGCTCAATACCCTCAACACAACATGCTACGGCTGTACCCCAAATCTGGCCATCTCTGGTGGCATCCAGATTTTGACCTAGGTCCCCCTACTGCAGATGACCCTGACTTGATGCTTTCCAATGATCCTAGACTCCCACCATATGCAGTCCAGGGAATGTCGGGTCCGTGGACTGAGCTTTATCCTATTAAGATTCTCAACCGAAGCTCTTGCACGGAGGCGGTCTGGTGGTTGCTTTTTCGAGATCTTGACCACGCCAATAATTACGATCTTGTATGGAGCATGATGATATACTCACTAATGTTGTACCCGAAAGGAATAACCCTCTGCCCTAAGTTCCAACCTATGTGGGAAGAATTTACTTTGCCAGAGCGAAGGCTACACGCAGGAAATGGGGCCCAGCACTTGGACTCTGGAAGAAGATGAAGGATAACAATGAACTGCCGCCTCCCCCTCCCGCCAATTGGTTTGGAACAGTCGAGGGGGCTAAGCGAGCTGGAGGTTGGTTGTGAAATGGTTTAATTTGATTTGCTTTGCTTTGCTTTGATTTATTTCGCCTTGTTTCGCCTTGTTTGATGTGATTTGACTTGTTCTTTATTTTCTTTGTTAGGGCTATTTGGAACATTACAATCTTGACTCGCCCTTGCAAAAGAGCATTCGTACCCCCAAAAAAAGGGAAAACAAAAGGAGAAATAAAGAGAAAATAAAACCAATCGGATTACCCGGCCAAAACAATTGTCTGAAATATTTAAATAAGTAACTGTACACTGCAGAGTATAAATGCCTTTGGTGATAAAGAAGGGTCCTGAAAACAGAGAGAATCCCTTCAGGATGTGAGATAACCCCCCTAGCTTCCTCACACTAGAATGAAAATATTTCAGTTTCTTTGAGAAGTAGATGTGAGACCTCGGGGAATTGATATGGCGATGGAAATGGTATCTGGGTAGTATATTTATATAACTCATTTCCGTGAGCCTGATGCCCAGTATCTCTATTCAGATTCGATCATGGCCGCCCACTCCCCCATATCTTTTTCCCTAGAGAGTGCCACCAGAGAAACCTTACGCTGCCTTCGGACAGTTGAAGGTTTCCAACAAGTTCGATTACTTGTGACCGGTGAATTAGCCTCATTGAGACATTTCCCTGGTCATCAGGCAAAGGACGAGGTGTGTCTTTTTCGTCCGTGAATGAAGACATATAACGAATCCAAAGAGGAAACTAATTTGATTCTCCTGATAAAAAGTTGGATTTCTCGTCTTTCTTGGTGATGGGTTTGATGATCGGTTAGACGAGCTTCCCCCCGGGGCTTCGGATTTGCTGGAATTGGGACTACTGTCGATGCACCCAGCCAGTTTTCAGCAACAACTCGGCTTCCTCGAAGTGAACAATATATCCCTTCGCTTCGTACCAAAGGAAATAGTGAGTGAACACTATCAATGCCACTATGCTCTATTTACATGCTCACTTATGAAAGTTACCCTACGTCCCACAAGGAACAACAACTATCGCGCAGACCGGAACAGAGCAGCCTATACCGTATATGTCCGCTTTGGACTCGCTGGTTTACATGGTTGTGCGTTACTCTACGGATGTGAGTGACTCCATGGATGTGGAAAGAAAACAGCCATATACAGATGTTACGGCAGTCACGAGTTCCCTGGAATATCCCCCAATCGCAGGGACCCGTGATCTTCTCACCCCAGCAACAGGAGTGTTTGGCTAGCGGGTTGGATTGGCTTGCGAGATATGGCAGACGGGACGAAGAGTGGTGGGCGCAGAGATTTGGTCTTGGCTGAAAAGCAAAAGCGAGATACGATCAGAATAGACTGTATTGATACCTAAACATTTTCAGCCAATCCATTAGAACCCAATTTATAATCTCTGCGTACTTTGAATGCGATGATTAGACGCAGCGGAGAGCAAGCAAGGGCGAGGCGCCTTCGGCTGCACGACTTCGTTAAAAAAAGAAGCTCATTGACTGTAATCAAATGTGACGCTGAAATAGTACGCACTTGTGTATCGCCTGTATAATTTTTGAGGTTTTTCCAGGGACAGGGCCACAAAAGGCCGTACCCGGGTATACTGGATAAGCCTCTATTAAGGTAGGCCATTCTTTCTCTTTCGACTTCAATGATCGAGCATCCAATTCCAAGAAGATAAACAATTTTTGGTTGCATAGCACATTGATTTCTCCGTCACCACCAATAAGAAGTAACCAGTCGGAGGGTTACAGTGCAGCATACCCTTGCTTACTTGCCATTGTCTAGCTAGCCCCGAGACTGGGAGCCATTTCTAGTGACTGTTAGTTCGTATTCGACCGAACATCTTGAATGAGAGCTAGTTATTTTTGGCAGGAAGTGCTAAATTGTCACTACGAACAATATCGCTTTCTACAACCCTATATAGAGTGGCCCTTGTCATTTATTTACGTATTAATTTGATTCTGATCAGATTCAAATGGAATAAATCGATATATAAGCAGGATTTATAAATATCATGCAATTATTACATAGTTAATCTAAGTGTCAGCTGACGAATGCAGAATCTGACTGCATGACCCTAGTCTCTTTTCTCGACTCGTCTGACAATGGGATATAACTTAACTGCCCAACTACACGCCTAGCGCTAATATGCAAATGATCTTCTCTTCACACTCTCCGAAGAAATGAGATTAAATATCCTATCGACTAGTATCGCTTTGGCCTCGCAAGCCATGGCTTCACTGTCTCAGTCGGAGCTGCAAACGCGCTACCCAACAGGATCCTTCTCCATTCTTGCCTACGGTGTAGCTCCTGAGGGAGCCAATGTTTTTTATTCAGACGGTTATTATTATCTCACCTGACTCTAATGCCCATCTAACCCGAATACCCAGGATTCGCATATGTCGGCGATTCTTCCCAGTGGATCTCCGGATCGGTGACAACCGACGTTACATGTAAGATCTATTTCTTTTTCACGTCATTTCCATTTGACTTCGTCTTTTTAGTCAGAACAACAGCTAATCCTCTAATTAGTTGTCTTCAAAAACTCCCGAATTATCGCTACGGCCACTGACAAGGATTACACCTTTGACGCTGACACCTCCTTATACATCCGTCCCACACCAAATAAGGTGCTACCTGTGGGTTTCACTGGGAATTATGTCGATACACCGGACGATGCGAAGCTAGATCAATTTCTTTTCTATGGCAGGTATCTCATGTGGCAAGATGAGAATGGCTTGCTATGCGATTCGTTCCGTCTGAAGGATACGCCTGTCGACGGTATTTACCAGCTCTACTGGGATACTTCGAACCTTTATCCTCCTGGCTTCTTGATTCCGACTGTGAAATCGTCTGTTTGAGTGGATTTAAACCTTGCAAATCTCCATTTTGGGAGCCCAAATGCCCATGTAGTCCTACTAAACATCATAGGTTCCAAAGTTGGTACGTCAAAATTTAGTAAAGTACATATGTAACCTTGAAATTCTCAAGGATTGCATAGTAATCGTATTCATCATATTGTAGCCGATTCGGCGAGAAATGGGAAGCTATCCCATAACGGCAAATCCATACCCTCCCAATCAAATAAAGCGCCATCGACAATTGGGGGTAAGACAGATGCTGTGGTTCCGTCGTCTGAATGTAACCACGTGTATGATGTGACACTCTGCGATAGAAGTGGGGTTGCGTTTCTCGCTTCTTCTTCGTTTCCTTCACTTTGTGTCCGCGGTGTTGCCGGCCTGTCGTTCAAGCTAAAAATCCGACTGACGTATTGACTCCGTCGCTGTCGGGCTTGGGCAGCGAGTTGCTGGCGCTGTTTGCTTATAGCGGCCTCTAGCTTTGTTATTATCTCTAGGTAGTGCGCTGCCTGGGCAGACTGCGACGCCAGCATGCGCAAGATAGTCAGGGCACCGCGGAACACATCATCAATCTCAGAGTCAACGTCACGGTGAGAGAACATGGAGAACCCGAGAACAAGGGCTGCGGCAAAGATAAATGCTCTGTCTAATGTTAGTGCTGGAGTCACTAGATGGGTATTCGCAGAGACGAACTTGAGAATACACATATTCCGAAGAAGAAGGCCGGACTCATGAACCTCCAGACACGTTTGCAGCATGTATACAGCAGAATCAATACATGCCGCTGCGAGTCGAGAGTGGGCTGGGTCCTCCTCAGGCACCTCGCTGGGATCACCTGTCGAGAGGCTCTGGTGTAGCCGGGCCAGCCGGACACTCAAGACCGAGACGAGGAAAGGTCGGGTGACTAAGATCACTGCAAAATGATACGAACATGCAACGTGCATGTTTCCAATTGTATGCTCTCGGAAAGTGCTCTGGTCTTTGTGTTCTAAAGACGACGTCCTTAATGATCGCGGCAGATATTCACCCCAGCCGTTTAATTTGCATAACAGTAGGTCTGCTTGCTGTGTGGATGCGGCCTTTTCACTGTAAAGACAGTTTATTATTTCGTCCAGGATCAAGGATAACTGAAATGAAGCCACCAGGCTAGGATCGGCTGGTGCGGCCCCAATCCAACTAGGTTCTTGTCGATTCTCGGGTAATAGAGGTGATATAGCAGAAGGTCTCCCGAGTATCGAACTGACAAGCAAATCAAGAATACATAAACTCATCCATAACCGTGATCTATTAGGGATTAGCTGGGCCAAGTAGATTTTGCGAGAAGCTTCTACCGTTCATTTCTCTCGTCACTCTCATCGGGACTTATTGGCCCTGGGAAGTCTGCATGGAACCCAAGCGCCACTGCTGCTCGTGATGCCACTCCCAGGTACATGAATGCCGTGTTTCGACGGCATGCTCCCAGCATATAGAAGGACATGAGTAGAAACACTCGGACTAAATCCACGCTAGGATCTTCCAGCATATTGGCAAACGTCCTACGTTGGCCTCGAGCAAAGTAGAATCGCTCCGCCTGAAGGGTTTTTCGGTCATTTGGGAAGGATTGTGCTCCGATAGCAACCATAAGGTCTATGATGGCCGCCCTAGTCTTTTCCCGCTCCGTTTTGGGCTCTGCTGGGCCAATCAATGAACACGAAATGTCGTCCCTAAAGTCCAAATTAAAAAATCCGCTCGTCTCGCAGGGTGTCAGTAATTTGTCCGGTCTTTATGATTGCCATTCGTCTTACCGCCGCGTGATAATTTTGGATAAATAGATCCTTCTCATCAACAGTGCAACATTCTTCTGAGAAATTCAACAGATCATGATGAGCCTCTGACTCTAGCATATCCTCGCTGCCCCCATTATGAGAGAACTGTGACGGCCCGATATGTTGGGTCACTGTATCCCGAAGCAATTGTAGAAATGACAGAGAGGCGGCTTTCCCGACGTACACTGCGGACAGCGTCAACCAAATGATGAGCATGACAGTCGCAAAACTTCATACCTCGTTCCCCTTGTAGGTTGCGGAGCATGCGCGGATGCGTCCGATGCGCAACTTCAGGCGAGTGCGATCCCACCTCCAGCGTATCAAACTCGAGATGGGGCGTACCAATATCATGAGACTGCCGCCTCAAGGGGCTTTGTAAATCGACTGTCGTTCCCCTCAACGTCGGAGGTGCTTCGACTGTGGGTCGAGAAGCAGGTACGAGGCGGCTTCGGAGGCCTGCATTTGGTAAGGACTTGAATGGGGTACATGAGCGGCCACGTCCTTTGTGAATGCAGTTGGTGCACGGGAAATAACCACTGCAGCGCTTCTTGGATGCACGACAGGCAGTGCATGCAGTGTTTGCTCGCAGCCGATTCGCTGGATGGACCTTGGGCCGTGGCATGCTTGAAGAGTGTACAAGACGTCTGGGTTTGGATGAGATCCCCGCATACCGGGGATAAGCGATGAGCGACGAGCGATAAGCGATAAGTGTGCGCGGCCCGACGTCGACGGGTATTTCGGAAGAGGCACTTCTGAAGGATGATTGATTTTAAAAAGAGTATTGCACCTTTTGCATGTGGAATACTCCAGGAAGAAATTGACATATGATACCACAAGTACTACTGTACAATAGGCCCTTTCGGTGCCACCTATGGGGCCCTTTCGGATACATATGTATATAGTTACGCACGTGATTATAATATACTTAGGCTAGATTAGTTTTGTACTTGATGAGACTCAATACGTGGCAGATTGAAGACAACTACATTAAATGTAATATCATAGTATGTGCTATGTGGAAACCATGTGCGATATACTTCGTACATAACGGACAAAATTTATCCGATGAACGTGTGACCAAACTCGGTAAATCAGCTTGTCGGCTTGCCGAATGTGACCTCGATTGCACTCTACCTCGTAGTGCCAAAGGATTAGGGAAACACAGAACATATCTATAGGTAGAAACCATAATTTTATAGACAGAGCAAATATTCAAGTCATGGAAAAAGGATCTATAGCCGGCACCGAACGAGAAGTTAAAAATTTTCTACAGAGGATCCACCCTAAATAAAATAATTGGTAGATGATTGGATAGACTAGCCAAGAGGATCCACCAGCATTAATTCAAACCAGACAAACGAAACAAATTGGGCAAACACCAGACTCTCTCGCTTAGCGCTAGCGCGACTGGCAGGAATATAAATAAGCCCATGCCGCCGGACCTTCTGCTGTTTTTCAAGCGACTCTACGTATGTTCTCCCTCCCCCATACAGTGCAACATATGTCATACACCGTACTTGAACATTTTACTGACCATTCCCACAGTTCAAAGAATCACTTTAGAGTAGACGTCCCCTTTCTAAACTCTTTAAAAGAGCCACAGAATCTCCACCCTTGCTGATGACTACATGTCCTCGATGCCCTAAAGTGAAACCTTTTTACTCCCGCCTCGACTGTCACGCGTGCTGTTTGCAGTGTCTGTGTTTCGGTCCAGGGAGTGGTGATGATCTTGACCTGGTCTCGATGTCTGACTTCGGTCGGTCGGTCCTGGTGGGTATCGAGGAGGTCTGAAAGGTCATCTTCCATATTGGTAGATGGCGTAGAGAGCTGTGAGGGGGTTATACAGATAGCAAACAAATTTATATTCATCTCATTGGGTTTTCATTTGCTCGGGCTTTATTCGTAGTGTTCTAAGCCAGTGTAGATGGCAGGGTGGTCTCTTGTGCCTATCAGCCACGTCCCGTCACCTTCTGACATAGTCTTGTATTTCGACATCCATGGATCGCTGTCCCGATCCAGCTAGCTACATTCTTTGGATAGTGAAATATTGGTATTGCCTGGTCCAATGAATTGGTTATAGTAAAGTCCATTACCGCGGCCATCATGTAGTTCAGTAAAACCTGTCATGCCTTCGGGTATCATGTCTCGTGAACTGCTCAAGAACTCAATATGTAGGCCCGCCCTCACTTCGCCTCGGTGTCTCCAGTTTTCTCTGAAGCTCCACCCTTGGGTCCCTTATTCCGTGATCCACGCCCTCCACGAGATCCGCGGGAGGGGCCAGCGTTACCTCCAATATTACCGCCAATTCCTGAAGCGCTTCCAGCAGCTTCAGTGGGAGCCTTGACCTTATTGGCAGTGAGACCTTCGCGGCCTTTCCGAGACTTTTCAATTCCGGGGTTCTCTTTGCGCTCCAAGACCACCACTTGACTCTGGGCCACGGACACGGGACTCGCAGCGATGGCTTTGCGAAGTGCTTCCGGTTCAGCAAAATCTACGTATCCGAATCCCTTCTTCTTGTCAATCTCGACCTTCGTCACTGCTCCGAATGGGGTGAACGCAGACTGCAGGAGCGCCTCGGTCACACCCTGGGAGGGATTGGCATGCTTGAGGAATGCTTGTTTAGCAGTCGATGGGAGTTTTGCTTTGCCGCCTTTAGTAGACTTAGCTGGTAGGGTTGCAGGCGGCGCAGCAGCCGCATCGGGCCGTGAGGATGACTCGCCGTCCTTGGGCTTTGATGAATTGGTTGTGGATGATGCGGTTTTGGGAGGCCTGGGTGTCTCCTTCTTGGACAAATCGGTTGATAGAATAGCGGAGTCTCGAGAGCTCTCGTTCTTGGGTGACGCAGTCTCTGTCGTACCACCTTTTCCGCGTCGTCGCCCACCAGGCGCCGAGAGTCCAAGGTCACGCTGAAGGATCTTGGTGGCTACTGCAACATTTCCGCGCTCTCTTTTCCGCTCTGGAGCAGCAGTTGTATCCTTTGTATCCTTTGTAGTGTTTGATGTGGTACTCGACTTGCCTCCCTTGGCAGTGGCAGCGGCTCCTTGCTTGGTCGCCTTGACAGAGTCCTTGCTTGTCTTTTCTCCTTTGGGTTTCTTGTCTGAAGAGTTTGCTGAGGTTTCCTTATCGGCCCGTTGCAAAAGCTTTTTCGCTTGCACTTTCTCCTGCTTTGATTCCTTGTCTGACCGACTGTGTTTGGATTTGGACCCACTGCCGTCCTTTACCTTGCTGGCTTTCTTGTCTTTGATGAACTGTACCAGCGGGGTCATTACGGTTTCCTTCTTCTTGTCCTCACCATCGGCTGTAGAATCCACAGCTGCGGGCTTGGTAATGGGCTGGGTCAGACTTTCCAAGAAAGTGATGAAGTCTGAATCCTGATCAATCGTGCCTTGGCGAGCATCCTTGCGTGAGCGGCTTCCGGGGGTCTTGGCATAAGGTGCAAACTCTAGCGAGGGAGGCCCAAGTAGAATGGGGTCATGTAGAGTATTACGAGCATCCTGGAAAGAAGCCTGGCGCACGGCATCCGAGAGCGAGGAGACACATTCGGTGGACACGACATGGATGTACGCCCTTGATGGGCGAGATGGCTTGTTGGGACTATTTGGAGAAGTCCAGTTAGTTGAAACCAATACAACAAAAGTATCGTCGGAGGCAGCGTGAATCCTACTCTTTCGACACCTTGCCAGGTTTGTACTGAACCCAGTCGACGTTTCCTGCCCCAGCCTTCCACTGGTTCCCAAGAGCACTCTCAAGCTCAGCCTGTGTTAGGCCAGGTGGCAAACGTCGAATGAGAAGTTTGAGACGTGGAGCAGGAGGCTTGGGCGTTTTCTTTGCGGGCGCTGCAGAGCCGGACTTTTGCGTAGCTGCTGCCGAAATTGGGAGCAGACCGGCCGTGGTCTTGCCGGGCTGCATCATGCGAGACTTGTCGATATGAAGAACTGATGGTATGTTTCTCTTTCCTAAAACAATGGTCATAGAAATCCTAAAGGACCTTATCAAGGGAGCCAGCCTACTTGTCCAAGTTGATAATCTACCCGCCCGGGCTTCTACGGGGATTGAAGGCGGTGTGGCTGGACATGAGTTCTCACCGCCTAATTTCATGTGCACGTGCCTAGGTGCACTACATATTATCATCACCACACTCACACTAACATACATACACGGTTGATACATACATATGTATACATAGTATATAGATATCTTTTAGTTCCGCTAGAGGAGATTAATGATGTACTCTGTATGAATTTTCTCTTGCGGAATTCGTCATGGGCTGTTGACCAGAAGGAGGACTCCCAACGACCTCCCGAGGCCCCAAGGGCTAAACCAGCCTTATCGATAAGCATCTCCTCTTTTGACCTCCGTGATCGAAACACTCTAGATGTCAACAATGAGCGACGAGAAGAGCCCCGTCTTGGGGAGCCAAGGAGATGCGCCGAATTCGAGGCAGAAAAAGCGCCCTTTCAATTTACTCTGGCTGCTCCTCTGTATCCTTATAGCCACCGCCTGGCTCACACGGTCGTGCTCTCCTTTCTCATCGCTTAGTATCGACGAAAGAGTGCAGAAGATCCTGTCGGAGACTCCATTGATCGGTATGGAGATTGGAGAGAACCTTGGAATACTCCTGTGTGGGCAATTATGACTGATGGCCCAAAACAGACGGTCATGATGACCTTCCAATCTTAGTCCGGGAACACTTCCACAACCGCATAAATGATCGCAACTTCACTGAGGCTTTTGTCCAGGGAAAATTCCCCGGCCAAGTTGATATACCTCGATTGAAACAAGGCAAAGTCGGTGGTACGTTTTGGAGTGTTTTCGTGCCCTGTCCCGAGGATGGGACCGATTTTTCCGACGAGAATTACGCAGCAAGTAAGGGAAATATATTGGTACAATGGCTGTTGCACAGTATGCTCACATGGGGATTATAGGCGTGCGTGAGACGATGGAGCAGGTGGATATCATGTCGAGGGTTCAGCAAGCCTATCCCAAGGTCTTCTCAAGTCCCCCAAATGGCACCACTGCCATGTCCGCTTTCCGTGAGGGGAAGATCATCTCTCCGCTTGGTATTGAGGGGTTGCATTCGATCGGAAACTCACTGGCTCACCTCCGGATCTTCTATGAGCTGGGGGTTTCATACGCAACTCTGACGCATAATTGCCATAACCGGTATGCAGACGCCGCCATTCTCGAACTCCCAGGCGGTGGAATAAAAAAGTCCGATCCTCTCTGGCATGGCGTCAGCGAAGAAGGCCAGAAGCTGGTGTTTGAGATGAACCGCCTTGGGATGATCGTCGATTTAGCCCATGTCAGCACGGAGACCATGCGTGATGTGCTGGGCGCGGGCAAGTCTGAATGGATAGGTAGCCGTGCTCCAGTGATTTACAGCCATAGCTCAGCCTATGCACTCTGTCCGCACCCGCGCAACGTACCTGACGACATATTGGAGCTGGTCCGTGACAGGAACTCCCTGGTCATGGTTAATTTTGCACCAGATTTCATTTCTTGCACGGCTTCTGACCGCCCCAATGGGATTCCAGACGCGGAGCCTGTTCACGCCACTCTGGAACGAGTCGCTGATCATATCCTGTACATTGGTAATCTTGTAGGCTTCGAGCATGTTGGAATAGGTAGTGATTTTGATGGTATTCCGACGGTTCCTCGGGGATTGGAGGACGTGTCCAGGTTCCCAAATCTGATTAAGGAATTGCTGAAACGAGGAGTCAGTGACAAAGATGCAAGTAAGGTGGTAGGAGGCAATCTGTTGCGGGTATGGAAGAAAGTTGATGAGGTGGCTCTTGAGATGCAAGCCGACGGTGCACTGCCTGTCGAGGACTAATCTTTCAAGCTCTTTGGGTTCTTTAGTTTGCTAAGACCAATGCTACTTTGAGGGCCATAGCTTGTGAATTGCAACCACAAAGTTTTGTGGAAGTGTACGTCATCGAACCAGCCAACTCTTGAAGGTTGAGGAACTGCATAGTGGAAAGTTCATCTTGAATTGGTATTTGCTAAAGTGGTTATGGCAGATCGAGTGAGTTAAAGCAATAGTCCTTTTGAAGAATCGTCAACTCGAATCCGCTCTGGGTAGAATTTCTCTAATTCAGCGCAGTAGCAGATGTACGTAATTCACAGTTCCTTTCTCACATGACGGAAAATAACCACACTGCTCCCAGGCGATCCTTTGCACCTCGGGTCTTGATATTCAACTGATAGAAAGTGCAAGTCTGGCGCCGAGAACTTGGATATCGGAAAGTAATCATTAATGGTCGGAATAAGGTCAAGAAAGCCAGGGTCTGAGGAATTCAGGAATCCCGATACGTATGTAGATATCATTTACCAGATAGTACCGCCCTTGCGGACGGTTGAGCATATTTACATTACGCAAGGCAAAGATATTCCCGAGGTCATCATTACTGGATTTTTCATTCACGACCTGTCTCAACTAATCCTGAACACAATGATCGTCCTCTCACCACTAGTCTCTCATTGACAAGCCCATCAGAAAATATATCTAACTTGGTATCTGGTAAACTCAAATTGACCCTGGCGCTTCGTACTTCGCACACCCGGAGCAATTGTGTGGAGAGTTGACCATTCAGCAGTTAAGGGCAATTGCTATTTCCTGGTTAGCTGATGTTCATTAGGGGGGTTTGCCATCGGACACTAACCATTGGCATACAGTGCATACGAGTCAGCGTTCATCACAGCCTCTGCGCTAGAGAGAGCTGTCGCAGCGTCATATCCGTATCCGTTGTCTTCGGTTCCCGGGCGGTATACTCCTGGAGCATGGGTGAACTCGTGGAGAGTTGTGGTTGCTTGATCTTGGTTGTGGCAACTGCTAGTCAATGCTGGAAGCTCGCTGTAGTAGATATCGCAATTGGCGATCACATTTTGAGATGGCAGAGTGTAAGCCAAGACATTGGGCTCGCAGCTATTTGTATTGCAATTGTAAGCCAGATATTCATATAGAGTCGTTACCGAAAGGAGGTACTGACTATCCTAAGGTATCTTCGCAGTAGTACTTAGTAGCAGTGTTCGAGCCAGCCTCTTTGGCCACAGCCTTAAGGCGAGCAGCCACGACTTTGCGTGTAGTGCTGCTGGTGGTCTTGAAGTACTCGCTGAACCTATCGGATAGCATTAGAATGATTAAAGTCGTAGTAAAATGGGATGTGCATACTTGGAGGAGGATCCAGAAAGGGCAGCCTCTGCGGCAGCGTTTGCGAGCGTCACAGTGTTCTTAAGAGCCTTGTCAAGTGCAGACTTCTTCCTCGAATCACTGCAGGTTGGAAGAGCACGACGATCGAGCGGCTTGATAGCCTTCAGCACACGGGATGCCTTGACACCGTCGACCTCGATCTTGAGATCATTGGAGCGGTATGGCAGATAGCCAGTCACTGCACCATCAGTGACTAGGGGCACCAGGCCGGTCGAGCGAAGAGTCAATGGACCTCCGCTAGACAAGTCACTGGTAGTGGCAATGTCAAATTCATCCTCGAAAGTCTCTCCTGCAGCAAGAGAAGTGAGAGATTCCGAGGTGAGACCTTCGAGGACGAACCGGCGCTTGATTCCCTCGAAAGCGATCTCGTCATCTAGTATGAAGTTAGCTTGCACCAATATGGTCCAGGGAAATCTTAGGTACCGTTTTTGAAGACATTGACCTTCTTTACGGGTGCGGCGTCACGGAAAAAGTTGAGATGCACAAATGTGACATCTTCGCTGCCAGAGTTCTTCACGACAGCCTTGATGCGAGTGTCAGTGACACGACTCAAGGTGATATCGAGCGCAGGAGTCTCATCTGTCTCAACTGGCAAGGCGTGCACATGCTGTGCTAGAGCCAGGAGTACCGTGGAAAGTGCAGCGAAACGCATGATGCTCGGAGGTCAAAAGTCTCAAGAACGTCGATTCTCTGTAAAAAGAAGTTGTAATTCTGCTATCTTGGGTGCTGTTGGAATGAAAAGGCTCAAATTCTCGAGAGGACATCGACTGATTTATAGGCCGCTGGACACTCATTGCAGTTTTGAAGCGGAATGCCGCGGCTACCTCTCTCCTGTACACCTTCCATCTTCTCCTATTACCCAGAAGGACAGTGGAAGAAAGAGGGTAGGATCCTCTTTGCATGAAACAATTTGGTCACGCTAACAGAGAATCTCGCATAGGACGGAGACGGCATACCTGCGGGCAATCTTGCCACTGGTCGAAGATATCTTGAGATAGCTACATCTCCAGGGGAAGCCGGGGGCAATCTTCTCACTGGTGGGAGATATATTGAAATGGCTGCATCTTCAGGAAGATCATCGTGGATGTCGTCTTGGCCCGACGGAAACCCGCGCCCCTGAAGGACGGACTTTAGCGGGTTTGGATGCGAGGGCTTATGAACCTGCATTTGATCCCACGGCATGCTTGAAGAAGCGGGGGCTTATTCGATGTAACTCCTCATGATCGGCTCTAGATAAAGAAGAACTCGGCGCTAAAACCTGCAGGCCCCTGGACAGACCTTTGTGTTTAAGGTAAAATAATCCTTGCTGAGTGAATGAAGTATAAAAATTCATTCTGCGGAGAAATAGAATACCAATATATGTACACCATCATTGTTAGCAGTTGTGGGACATAAAGACATTGTGCTGCAGAAATACGAATTTACCTCGCCTATAGTAATAATATGACCGGTAACGACTCATATCTTCGTCTCATTCTAAATGACTTGTAAGCCCCCCTCCATTCATATCACGCCAAGCACCAGACCGTGGGTTTGTCACCGGACTCCGGTGCCAAGTTAGTGCCAAGATACCACCCAAGACGGCGCCGAAGTCTTGACTTCAGAAACAATGCTTAGTGTTCAGCCATTAGGGTCGCGTCGGATATAGCCTTGGGATTAGTGGCGGCTTGGCTATTGTGATGAATGGCGAGGCAACGTGACGCCAAGCCCACGAGAAAGGACTGTTCCACGGAGCGCGGGAAGAATGCGGTAGAGCGCCCTGGGCTAGTCGACTTGGCATGCAATTCACAAGTTTGATTGGTTCAAAGGAGAGATACTCAAAATGATCAGCGTTTCCAGATATAAGGCGTGAGGAGATTCTCTACTTGGGTCACTTCTCTCTGATCTTTCAGCACCCAAGGCCCTCTCGATATCTCGACACTACTAGTAAATTGCCTAAACTGCTCATTGTCGCTCTTCTTTTCTCCCCTTTCTTTTTCTTTTAGCCTTTGATTCCCTGTCCACCCGTTGATATAGTGTGTCACAGTGATCGCCGACTTCTTTGGCCGCAAATATGGAGTCAAACTTGAGTTTGCAGGTGACCTTGGCCCCCCAGACACCGATCCTTCAGGCACAGGAAGCATTTGCTCTACCGATCAAAGTTTCTGTTCACAATGCCGCAGATTCACCAGTCACCATTTTAAGATGGGGCACCCCATTGGACCCTCAGGCTGGCGTTCTCGGTGTCTTCGAGATTTGTGACACAACGGACCAACGGAAACTGCCCGTTCCGACTATTATGGTATCACGCAAACTACCTGCCTCGGAGGATGATCTCGTTGAGATACAAGCACGAGCCACCCTTGATGTAACTGTGAATTTGCGGATTCCAGGCCTCGAAAGAGGACATGAATATTCTGTTCGTGCACAGGGAACTTGGCATGCGGTGTGGCCAACCGAATTATCCAATGTGACTACAACCCAACTCAGACATAACGAAGGTGCCAATCGTGGGAACTTCCTTTCTAATGAGTCTTCTGTGAGCATTGAGTGAGCTAAGTAGATGGTCGTTTGGATCCGAGAGACAAAGGAGCAGCAGATAAGGGAACTTGACGCTGCGCGATTGCTATCAATATCCTGCTGCTCACGATTTATTGCATGTGTCATTCGCCGTCATTCACATGAGTGCCTAGGAGATAGGAGTTGTGTTACACATCTCGGTTCCCCCGGTATCGCACAAATTGTTAAACAAGATTCAATGCGCTGTCTAGTATTAAGGTCTACCTGTCATGACTAGAATGAACCTCTAATTCTCAAGTGTTCACTAGTACACATCGACTCCTTCGTGCAATACACATGTCTTTCAATAAATTACCCAGCCCAAAGGAAGATGCCAGAGCGGTGTTCGAAGTTCTAAAACGGGGTGGTATTGCGATTATTCCTATGAGCGTTGGTTACGGAATCACTGCGATCGATCCGGACGCATTGGACCGAATTTTTTGCACGAAAAGGCGAGAACCACACAAGCGACATGCAATGGTCGGCAGCTACTTTCTGCATCGAGATATTCATGTTCTTCCCCCTAAGGAAGCCGATATGGTCAAACTCTTAACCGTGGACTTGAACCTTCCTCTAGGGATTGTTGCGCCATATCGCCTTGACCATCCGATTCTCCAAAAGCTTCCACCGAAAATATTAGCACAGAGCGTTGTTGGGGATACCCTAGCAATGTTGGTCAATGGAGGTGCTTTGCTAGAAGAATTATCTCGACTCGCGGCCCTAGAGAAACTTCCTTTAATGGGATCTTCGGCCAATATCACCGGCAAGGGAACAAAGACTGTGGTCGAGGACATCGAGCCAGAGATCCTCGAAGTGGCGGATATTGTTATTGACTATGGGCGACAAAAGTTTCACCATCCTCGAGCCTCTTCAACCATGATTGATTTTAGAAAAATAGAGGTTCTGCGATTCGGGGCTTGTTATGATGTGGTGCAGGATGCGCTCCGGCGCTTTTATGGAGTCAAATTGCCAGACGATCCTAGAACATCGACTCTTTCGTCTGGACAGACTTGTGCGAACAGGATGAATGACTTCTAGTCCAATTACACGATTAGATACCACCTATTGCTACGAAATAGCCAGATTGGCAAGTAAGGCGGGACACGAATAATCTAACTATCCTAAAGAAGCATAATGCATGACTTTGCCCTTTGCTTTGCGAATCCACAATTTCCCTCCCTTTGGTTATTACAGACATATCCCACTTTCCGATCATTATAAACAGCATTCGAGAAGCCGAAAGCGATATACAAAGAAAGCTGGATTCCCCTCTTTACATTTGGGGTAGTCCTATCTACATTGTGTCAGTCATATAGAAGGATGTAGGTATCCCTCATTCTGGATTGGCAAGTAAAAGCACGTTTTTGGTGTCCTGAACCGCTTGATAAGAGTTACTAGAGCGGGATGCATTATTCCACAGAAAAAAAAGAGGAACTTCTATGTCAAGCTCATTGTGGTATCTAATCAAAAGCAAAAGCACCTGAAATAACGTAGTGGCACTAGGTGTCTGTTTAATTTGTACTATCTAAAATTTCACTTTTCAGTATTTCACCGGAATGTCCTAGAGAGGGGTTTGGAGGATTTGAACTTGCCATTTCTTTCCTTGCTTTTTCTTTTCAAAACTAGATGTAACTGATAGTGACAGTATTACTGGTGACAGAAGAAGACGTGAGAATCCGATCCTGATAGATGTCCATGACGGTAGCACCCGATGGCCCGTAAGTATTGCCACCGCGCGAGGCAACTGCGTTGGAGAACACTACAGTGCTAAAGTAGGCAAAAGGAGCCAACGCGTTGTTTATAGAAAAGTCCTCCACAATCCATTCGGCGTTGAACTCGCAGAGCTCACCCACAAGGCTATAAGGAAATATATGTGCCACAGACAAGCCTGTGGATATATTCTCAATAGTAGCAAAGCCGGAACTGTTCGAATTTGCGTGGACTGCCATTTTGATCTTATTTCCGGCCGAAATTTGGATGTTGCTAAAGTTACGGGCGTAGTCTGGATACCATTCGTACCACGCGCTATATGACGTGGAGCCTCCTTGAATACAGAAATCGATTCCTGTTTGTAAAATTGCTGTACTGCAAGTATCACCGTCAATGCCAACCCCGCAGTAATTTGGGTAGGAATTAGCACCACTTGGAAGGTGGGGGATAGGAAGTGCGATCTCTCCGGATACCGAAGTGTATCCGGTACCAATAAGCACAGCCCCGGCCCAGTTTGAGCTGTAAGTCTCCTGTGATGTTTGGTTTAGATAAAGCCCTTCTGAGGTACCCGGATTGTGAGGTCGGATTTTGCGGCGCGGAGCTTGGGCAGATCGCTGTATCTCAGTGTCCGCCTGTTGGTGAGAGGTGAGAGGAAAGGCAATGATAGACGTGGCCAATAGAGTAGTACCGAAGATTGCGACGGCGAGCTTCATAGTGAAAGTATGGGAGCTGAATTGGTAGAAAATGTTCCAAGTATCAAAAATAAAAAGAGGAACTTGAACCGCGCGTGAATCTAGCTCTTCGCACGAAATTCGACGTTTATATAGCACTCGCTCCATACATTTATTAAGCCCGGAGGGGACGAGCCTGGATTGGAACGAAAGGCATGAATGACTATAATGCGAGACGTGGATAACAACTCTCAATGTAATATGAGGTCCATGTGAGATGTCGGAGACCGACGATTAGGGTGACTTTTCAAGGTAGCCCCGTAGCCAACGAAATCCATAAAGGTAATATACCTGCAAAAGCTCAATGGTAAAAGCGTTCCTTTTGTCACATGGATTTGGACTAATATATACATATATACTGATGTAGAGTAACCACGAAATATATGTCCTGGCGCATGCAATCTGTACGGATGGCTAGCAACTGCAATATAGACAGACCTTCTGTCTCATAATTCCCTCTTTGGTATTCGAAGCCGCATATCTTGATCCCATTTAAAGATCAATTGGACGATTGCTAGATAACTAGACATACGGACGTTTAGATGGGTTGGTAATATGATACTGTGTCTGATATTTGTTCGAGCTACTATGGGATTCCAATAAATGTCTCTTCTACAAGGCCTGTAAGACTTACGCTCCTCTCCACTCACCTCTCTTCTTTTCTACCTCTGTCTCTGTGTGTGTAGTAGCTTGTTTTGTTCAAACAGGATAGAGCATAAGGTTAGTTTAGTTTAGTTATTTTTTCCTTTCTTTTTTTTCGAACTCGTCGTACGGCTCTACGGCTTCCCTTGACAACTCCTTATTCGTCCCTCGACTTTTCCTTCATTCGAGGGCACCGGGCATATGTACTGATTGGAAAAGGTACGTACCAAGCTCTCTCAAAGATTGAAAAGGGTCGCCTGGCTAATTGCTAGTTTGTGAATGTACTGCAACATATAGCAACCCCCATAAGCGCGATTAAAAAGAAGTCTGGCTTTCTTAAAACCTTCTTCTCCATTGCGGGAGTCGTTTCAACTGTGCAAGATATACATCACGAGAAGCAGAGCTAGACTCAACCTTGACTATTCCAAAGTCTGGTTTCGTACCTCCAGACGGGAGGTGTTGGTTTCCCATACTAACTGGTCCGAAATGAGCAGAGGCGAAGAGGATACGTAGATGAGAGAAAGAGAGAGAAAAATTCGTGATATTAGAACTAGTAAGATAAGGGACGCAGTATATCTATCAATCTGCGGGCATCTCAGGGGGGGCTACATGGCTGCGAGGACAGGGACGCCAAGCGCAACCAAACCCAACTGCTGGCAACACATAAGATACGAGAATAGCTGATAGGACCCCAAAACCAATGATTTCCGTGAGCCACCAAGTCAATATCGCGGTGATAAGCGTTGGCTCTACTCTATAGAAAGGTGGGGGAGGACGATAACATTCGCAATGAGCCCGGGAAAAGTTGACGGCAATCAGAGACGTCTATATTGAGCTCTAGATGTCGAACAATGACCCACGTATCTCTTACTTGTAGCTCTTACTTGTGCCAGCTGCTACCGTTTGCATAGCCTTAGTGAGGAGCAGAAGATTGGCATTACAATATCGGCAGTCTAGCGAATCATATGGCATATCGGCAATATGGATGCCCATGCTCATCGGTAACCCACTTTCCCTACAGCCCCCGGTAAATCTCAGAGGGAGTGCTGCGGTGAAAAAGGAAACGCACATGGTGCTGGATAGAATTGGACTACAAAGCTTGTAGCGAAAAAATAACTAGAAAATAGAACGAGATATTGAGAGTCCCGGACACGAGTTTGGTCATGGGATGAATTACCCGCTCTCATCCCAACTTCTTCACCGAATACTTACGCAAGACGAGGGACTAAGCCTTATTACCACTGCTATTATGCCATTACACAAAGCAGAGGATACTCCGTATATACCCCGGATTCCGCTGGCCAGTGGAGATTGCTGAGGGAGTTCTGCCTGATAGGCTCTCGCCGAGCTCGCCAATATAGCGGAGAATAACCGTAAATCCGCGAGTCTACCCCTATTCTTACACTGAAAAGACTTATCTTCCAAGTAGTCGCACTGGCGATAGGATAAAGTACATAGCGTTCCGCGTCGCCTTCCCCTCTTAATCTGTCGTCGGCAAACGCCAATACCTGGCCAAAGGCCAATCCGGTTTCTATTTTATAAGTTGTTTATATTGAAATACGAAGGATCCTTGGGGACCTTCAGCAAAGAAAAATTTCAATTTGATACAGTAAGGATTGAGGGAGACAGTTAAAACACTATAGCTCTTACAACCACGGATATCGAGGAAGTGAAGACCTCTGCAGATGCGGCACTTGAGGCACTGCAACAGGAATTGTGGGAATTGAATGACCGAGTACGTTCATACTTATGGTCAGAATTTTATTTGCAAGGCTAATATCTTGATGATGATTATCAGATCTGGTCAAACCCAGAGCTTGCTTACGAGGAGCACCGCGCCCATGATACGATTTGTGACTTCCTCGAAGGACAAGGCTTCACCCTTACTCGCCACGCCTATGGGCTTGATACCTCTTTTGAGGCTTTGAGTGGAACTGGTGGGCGATTGATCAATTCCAACGCAGAATATGACGCATTACCTGGAATCGGCCATGCCTGTGGTCACAATCTAATAGCGACAAGCAGTATACCTGCGTTTCCTGCGCTGTCATTTGCCGTAAGGAAATTTAACATCCCTGGTAGAGCCCAGCTGTTAGGCACACCGGCTGAGGAAAATGGAGGCGGGAAGGCCCACTTCATTGATGTCGGCGCTCACAAGAATGTCGCCATTTCGTTAATGGCGTGAGATTTTCCAACCATATGAAAGGAGACGGAATCTTATTGCTGATTTGATTTGGAGTCATCCCGGCGCCAAAATATTCATCCCGACCAAGAGCCATCTGATGGCATAGCTGGAACGCCTACGAACGCGCACAACGACATTCACTGTGAGTCGTCTGATTTAATTCTCGGATTCTATGCTGATGAACGTAATTCAATATAGGCGAATTCGCAGGTAGGAATGCTCATGCTGGTGGAAACCCGTGGGAGGGGATCAACGCGCATGATGCTCTGGTCTCGTCTTACAACGTTGCGGTTCTTCGACAGCAGCTTCTTCCGGATCAGCGTGTTCATTGTGCTTTCTTGGATACACCCAAGGTAGCTAACGTGATACTGGATTACACGAAAGCTTTCTGGCAGGTGCACAGCCCTACCTTGAAGGGGTTGAACACCCTTGTTGGCAAGATGCGCGATTGCATTGAAGCTGATGCGTTGGCTACTGGATGTCAAGTCAAGATTGAGGAGTATGTATCCACTTATGGGCTACCTGCCCACCTACCTAGACGGATGCTTGAGGGAATGGTTACTAATATTATCGCTTCAAGAGATGAACTCTATACAGATGTCCGATTGAATGACACCCCCTGTGAACGCTACCATGTCCACATGGGGCGGTATAGCCGTAATGTTCTCAAGCGCCATGACAAAGTCCTAACAGGATCGTCAGATATTGGTATGCGGTCGGATAATATTCCGTTTGATTGACAGGACTGACCCATATACTTCAATTATAGGAAATGTTAGCTACAAGACCCCCACGCTTCATACAATGTTGCGATTCCTGCTCCTGCAACTTCATTTCCACATCACCCGGCGTTTGCAGCTGCAGCTGGAACAGATGAAGCTCATGCTGAGGTATTGATTGTTGGAAGATCTTTGGCATTGATCGGTCGGGACGTGACCGTGGAGAACGACATATATGATCTGGCGTGGCGTCAATGGAAAGAGGAAGTTATCCGGGAGGGGAGGAGTAGATGTATATTGGGTGGAAAAGTAGTATGATATAGTACTTTCCAAGGTCCGCAAGACTGTATAACCACCCCATTGGTTTTGCCACTAGAGACGTTTTTTGAGCGCTCAAAGCTTCTGCATCGTTCATTAAAAAGAGTCGACATACCCAATGCGGCAGCGCATCCGAAAAATGTATCGACCGACGTCATGATGACTCAGCTTTCCCCGCGTTATCTTATCGGCTTCGGCACTGAGGATAAGTCCATTATCCCGGCACCCTTTCATTATTGATCCTTTCAATTCGCTCTCTTCGATCTTTTGCTCATGCCTGCAGGTTCGTCCCTGCTGGTTCATGTTCATGCAGGGGGTTGGGCGTAATGGACCACGTTCCAAGAGTGGTAGGATATCCTTTTACTTTCCCGCACGACCGACTAACTCACTTCTCGATAGGTTGTAGTACCTGCCGCCGTCGCAAGGTCAAGTGCGGTGAAGAGAAACCAGTTTGTGCAAGATGTTCATCGCTGCGCCTCAATTGCGAATGGGGTGTTCCAGTGAAGCGTAGACGAAGCAAGCAAATCCGTCACCTTGAACCCGCACCGGTAACCTCCGAACATCCCACTTGGCCGATGCCCAAAGCCGAGGACCTTGTCGGCTTTCAACCGGATGCCATTTTTGCAAGTCTCTCGCCGGCCTGTAGGGCATCTGACGCTCTCTCCTTTGACACATTCAACCCGGCGCCAATCCCGACCCCTATATACCCTTCTTTGAACGTCAATGTCGCGTGCGCCAATTCATTGACACTCACCTCTCTTGATAGACAATACTTCCACTATTTCCCTTCTTCCTCGCTCGTATTTTACTACATGAAGAGATGGAAATGGAGCAGCTTATGGTGAGACTTTCATGTGTGTGAGGAATGAGGTTACCGTTTCTCACGTGAGACCTGAAGAGTTCGCCCGGCTAATTTGACACCCGAAAAAATCTAGCCATCTTTACGAAGGTCCAGCAGCATCCAATAGAATCATAATGCGGATGATATTGGCGCTAAGTGCATGTGATATGCATGGCAATGGGCTGTTTTTGCGCTCTCAGGATCATGGTCGGTACCATTACAGCCAAGCGGTCAAAGAATTCAGGCAATTGCTCGAGACGCCGCGCCAGGTTTCATTGGATGATGTCGAGACGGTTTTTGCCACTGTCTTTTTGATGATAGCTTGGGAGTGGCAGTTCGGACACTCAGTGCGTCATGTAAGAATGCTCTCATTGATTTGTTCACGCCGAATTCTTAATCGGCTAATGGGGGTCTAGCTTCAACTCCACCTTCAGGGCGTACGCTCGCTTCTGGAAACGCATCCGCAACTATTCCGCATCAAAGATGTGAATGATATGATCTTCTCTCCCGGAGTAAATACATTGGCCAGTGATACCGGGACCATGGGCAAGGTCTCCTTCATTCCTGAGCAGTTTTTGTTGTGGATTCTGTGAGCCCATCTCCAGCCATCATGCAAACGACTACCACTGACGAACAATCAGATATATCGATGCTAGTTGTCGTCCCATCGGTCTTACTGAGTCACTTAACGACTATGTGGCCCAGTCTAGGAATCCCGCTTTGCAGCCAGACCGTCTTCATCGCTGTGCCCGTCTCTGGGGCCGGTGCTTTTGGGGCGAGCAATATCCCGACGAGGAAGTTCTGGACGACATTGAAAATCACAGAGCTCTAGAGCTATTGCATGCGGGATTTTGCCTACGTCATCGAACTTGGAAAGTCGTCGTCGAATCCGCGGCTGGTACCACCGACTCCGCAGAACACCTTTTCCGTGAGATTCTCGACACCCGAGAAGTCAGTATATGTATATCCCTTTCGATGTCGAGAGAATTACTGATTGGATTAGACGTTCTCCGACCTCTTTATCACCGCGCGTTTTGCGGGTAGTGTGTCCGCTCGACGTACGCTCAATACCATATACATGGCCGTTTCTACCTTCTACGGCCAGGTCCTCCTCCACCGTCGGCTTCTCTGTGTCGATGCTTTACCAATAGCCATCCACCGGCAAGCTACAGCAGGGATCATTGACATTTGTCAAAAACAATTTCTGTCTGACCCGAAGCTCCTTAGGCGTTTACACTGGCCGCTATTGATGGCAGTGATTGAAACCAACGACATAACACATCAAAGGTGGCTCCGTCAGCGTCTATGGGAACTGCGGGACTTTCATTCCGAGTTTGTTTGGGCGCATGATGTGGCCGAGAAAATTCTGGCCCAGCAAGACGTGAACCGGGGACGATATGTCAATCTGGCCGAATTTTTACTAAAGCGTTTTCATGCGCAGTGAAGCCTTGTAGATCTACTTACATCTTTATAGCCCAACACTAATATCTATATCTTACGTTGCTCTGCATAGCTTCTATCGATTCTTGTCTACTTGCTTGCTTGTTTCCCTTTATGATAGGCCACCCTTTCACCTTCGTCGTGCGCCTGACAGGGCCTCGTTTGTTCAACAACTTGTACTTATCAATTCTTTTTATCTCAATCTGGACATTGGCATGGAACTAATATCGGCTAGAATTGATTGATTTACGTTTCGTCAACGCTGGAAGCACATGGGAGATCCGCCCAAGTCTCTTGAATACTATTGACTGATCAGCATGCTTTGCCTTGGTATAGTGTTACAACGGTCAATGAACGAAATGAACAATGCCGTTGTCAGTCGATGGTATTGGTGTTCACGGGCATTTTTGCTCCTGCTCACTAATCCATTCATGAGTTTCCTACATGAAGTCCAATTCATACCCCCTGGGAATATCTCTATGATCATACGATTAGTGCCCTTTCACTGGTCCGGTTTCGAGGGGAATACAGCGCCGTTCACCATGAGGACCAAGACCAACATCCGCTTACAAGTCAATAGAAAATATCCATGAATTTGCTTCCTCTAGGGACATGCATTTCTGTTCCAACCGAAGAGATTTGTTCAGAGCGAGTGTCTATCAGCCATGAACTTCCTTTTGAAGGTATCTAGAACCATTTATTTCCCATCTATTAAGCCCCAGCCGATTCCTATGCTATCATAGTCTGCTGCCAACTGGGTTTTGATGTCTGCCAACTGCAATTTGTGCCCCTAATGCACATGTCATTTAGTTGTTGTGTCATTCCCTTCACATGCTATGCCGAACGTACGTTTGGCGTTTGAGGAATCCAGCAAAGAACTTGCCGATTTCAGGATAATCGCCTAGACCCATGGTGGCAGACACATCTAGCGGTTCGAAAGCGTCAGTTGTGTCTAGTTATCTCGCGGCCATGGATTTGCTTACATTGATCTGGCCGAACAATGACAAGAGCACCTTGCGCCGGGTCAATACCGAGACATTCGTATGCATGGCCATGTCCGTCGTTGTAGCTCTCGTCGTCGTAATAAATCTTGTGGAGATCTAAATACTCTAGGTTAGGGATGGTGGGAAGATTGATTGAATATTAGAGCATTTGCACCTCTTGTTTGGTTTTTTCCAGAGACTGGATAAAAACATTCAGGGATCTGCTCCAACTCAACTCGGTGACGCCTTCCATATCCGATCAAAATGATCTCGATGAGGCTGTCAATGTCTTGATCCTTGGGGGTGAATGTCTGCATGGGCCCATCGGCCGCGCTCAAGTATTCTCCCAGCTATATGATGCATTAGATAACGGCCAGGTACATTCCCGTAGCGATAAACAGACCTTGTCGAGCTTTGAGCGATTTTCTGGCACAGTCAGGTCACCCACGAAGGCCATGATGCGCCACCGGCCATCTGACTTGAGAGACTTCATGAGATGTAGAGGTTTAGAGTCACAGAATCGCACGACCTGTGCGCTGGGCAGCCGCATACCAACGGCCACGTTATAGGCAAGCTTGGTCGATTCCAATGTAGAGGTGATGGGTGAGACCTCATACTTGGCTGTTAAGCCTGCGGTGTATTCACCAGACTTGATGAAGCCTTCTTGGAACTCGGCAGGAGACGTCGAGGCCCCAGAAGAAAACAATTTCGAAAAATAACGGTCAAATTTAATCAGCTCAATAGCCACCTTTTGACGTTCTAGGACGTAAGTCTCTAGAAGTGAGGGACTGGCCAGACCAGTCAAAATCTCCCCGAGCTTCCAGCCAATATTATAGCCATCCTGTAAGCTGACATTCATACCCTGGCCGGCTTTTGGGGAGTGGGTGTGGCAAGCATCACCGGCGAGGAACACCCGGTGATCCTTATGGAAGAAATCGGCATGACGCTGGCCGATCGCATAGGCCGACCACCAGGCTGTTTCCACAAAGTCTACCTTGTAAGGGTGGAAGATGCTCTGTGCTTGAGCCTGCAAACTCTTCAGAGTCACTTCTTTCGGGTTGGTCCCTGGGGCAAGTTCAATATAGAACCTTGTCAGGTTGTCGCTATCGCCTTCGCGGGGAATAATCAAGACATTCCCTGATTTTGAGCGAATAGTAGACTTCTTGCGAATGTCCGGGAAATTTGTTCGGGGCACCATGTCCATGACACCCCAGACAGCGTCGCTACTGTCTCCGATCATTTTGTACCCGAGGGCTTTGCGGACAATGCTGTGTGCCCCATCACAAGCCTGATGGTCGGGTCAGAAAGTGTCTAAATCTCAAAGATAATGAGAACCTACCAGTGCGTATTTGGCTGCAAATATTTCTGTCTTTCCGTCCTTTTCTGCAGTCACTTTGACCGGGTAGGCATCATGATCCTCGGCACAGGTGCTATCAACTTTGACATCGGTGACATTGTAGCCGTAGTCGATTTGTTGGTCATTATATTTCCGCATAAGCTCGATGAGGAGCCCGTTGATACGTGCCTGATTCAGAATAACATGAGGTTGATGTGATAGACCCGGCTGGGTATCCGCCGTCCGGCCTGTCCGCTTGATGGCGCCTCTGCCATTGTCGGCCCAGAAGTTGACCTCGAGGACGTGGTAAGCCTCACGAAGAAGCTCTTCCCCAATTCCAAAGCTTTCAAAAATCTCCACGGTGCGACATTGCACACCGTCGGCTTGACCCATCTTCATGGGGCCACCCCGCCGTTCTAGTACCTTACATCGTACCCCATACTTGGCGAGCCAGGTGGCAGCGCAGAGACCGGCAGATCCGCTGCCGCAAATGAGAACATCGACTTTCTCCATTGCTGAAAAGTGTGCACGAAGTGTGAAGATTGAGATCAAGTGTAGTTAGTGCTGCATATATCCGGGACCTTTTATGGTGCATCCGGGATGCGACCCGGGATGAGATCCGGGGCAACTCGGGATGAGATCCGGAAGGCGACTGCGGGACAACAATCTGGAGGAAAGCCTCGGCAGCCTCTACCACTAGCTCTGTTAGATCGGGTTTTCTCACGTCACTGCCGTTTTGATACTGCGAACCCGTGTTTGATTTTATCCTGTGTCGTTGCTTCCGATAGTCTGGAGCGCGCAGGGATTGATCGGGTTAGCTCTTCGGGAGATATCAAGTCCTCGGAATGCCGATTCTGTCTATTCGTATCTCATCCTTGGAGTATCTGGTTTGATCTCCCTTTCGGTTTCTCATATCATAAACACAAGGCGTATGCATCATTAAGTCTGGTCTAAATCATTATATAATGCTCATCCTTCCGCCCAAATACCAAACCGAACGCCAGCGCCGGTGCAGAGCTTGCATCAAATGTTACAGAAAGTACTCGCTGCGCCCTGGCCGCGAGGTTGGAACATGCCTCTGATCATCGCTGACTGCACTAAACAGCTTGAAAGTGGGTTTGAGATCCTCTCCGATTTCACAGACCGAGGCCAGGTTTCCGCATCGGTAGCAGTAATTTGGTGCACTCCACACGGTGACGACATTTTGGTTGTTAAAATGGTATTTGTAGCCCTCGTTGACCAACTGGTGAGCACGTGCGATCAACGACAGATCATTAACATGGCAGAACTCGTCGGCCACTCTGTCTCCGAATAACCATCCTAGGGAAGATTGTCAGCTATGTGTTCGAAAAAGGAAAATAGAGACCCGGATGATTCTTACCTGCTCCCCGGGGACTGACAGCCCAGGTCTCCACATCGTCTGGGTCAGACCACACAAGATCGCAGAAGGCACCCTCGTGGGGAATCTCCTGTGCGCGGGCTACCACGCGGACTTGGTCCAATGTGCGAATTTCAGGGCTCAGACCGCCGTGAACACACAGCACTTTGCCGTCAATAATAGCCCCCAATGTCATAAAATCGAAAACCTGGCAGCATGCCTTCCATACTGAAGCACTGCCGTACTTTTGGAAGCATTCTTCGTAAAAACCGTATACCTGGGTAATTTGGCGCGACTCGTGATTACCGCGAACCAATGTAACTCGATCGGGGTATCTAGAAGATTGGAGTAAGCAGTGAACACTCATCATTAAGTCCACCAGATGCCATATGTGACTCACTTTGCTTTGAGACAGAGTAAAAGCGTTAATGTCTCCAGACTGAAGTATCCACGGTCCACGTAGTCACCCAGAAATACAAAGTTGCGGTTAAGCTGGAGATCTGCGGATGTATTGCTAGCCGATCGGCTTCGTGAAGCTGAATCTCCCTCCTCATCATTGGAGTTCACGGTGGGACCGCGAAGCTTCTTGCGGATTTTAGGGTCTGAGATGCTTGACGGGGGTTCGATATCGGCGGAGGTAATCACAGAGGGGGATGTCTTTGGGGGGTCCAGTTCTGTACCATCGGGCATGCCTCCAGAAACTCGAAAGAGTTCCAAGAGATCGTAGAATTGGCCATGAATGTCACCACAGACTGTGACGGGTGTCGATACCGGTTGGATATTTGATTCTGCGAAGAGTCAGAATAGTTAAACTGAATCCCAGCTAGACAACACTTGCCCTCCATCATGTATTCCTTGACGATCTCACACAACTGCTTCATATGTGGCTCCGATAGATACTTGCAATCCTTCGCTGCCTCCAGCCACTCGTCAGGGCCGGCATTGCGCTTTAGTTTGGCAGGACCCGGTTGGGGAATCTTGCTCTCAGGCATGATAAAATGAAAGGAAGAATCAAGTAAAAGAAATAATGAAAGAAAGTGAAGAACAAGAGCTTGTAGAGAAGTGCATGTCAAGGAGAAGTGCAATTGACGTTTCCCCCGCAAGCTGAATTTCACTCTTGGCCGCCTTCGTCTGCCGAATTGTTCATCTCCGCGACATTTTCCTCTCTTCTTTCTTTCTTCTGAGTACATATGTACTCAACGATGTTGTGTGACACAATTCATGGGCTATTGTTTTTTACCGTCTTTTGTTTAAATTCTGGACCGCAGTCTGACTACTAACATTCAGTTGGTCTAGTACTTCGAAACAACCCCATCAGCCTACAGTCAATCTTCTATCTCGCATGAGCACCCTCGCCCTCTAGTCAAGATATTCGGACTTATTGACACGCCTTACTATACAATAGAAGTCCCAAAAAAGGGGTTTCTTTGATGTGTATGCCCGTACTACGCTTTGCTGGATCCGAAGCCACGATTTGATCCATGGAACAATACTCCCTACAAGCATACATTTGAAAGGAAGATACACCCATGTCTCGCTGGGGAAACTCAGCGAACATATTCATTAGATACGCCAGGGAACAAAATCTATCTACACAATGACCCGTAGAAATGCAATCAACCATCAATTTTGCTGAGGAACTCAGTCACAACTTCCGCGAATGCCACAGGCTGCTCCACCATGGGCAGATGGCCGGCCCGGTCGATGATCTTAAGATCGGCGCCACCACGTAGATCAGCGGCCATTTTTTGCATTGTCTGGGGCAGGACACCGTCATTGGCTCCGGCGACGAACAGACCGGGCACAGTGGCAGTAGCCATGCGCTCACGGATATCGTAGGCACAGAGCGCCTGCACGCTATGGGCAAATCCCTTCAAGCTGTTGGTGCGCACAGCCTCCTTGACAGGCGCAAGGACCTCGGGCTGGGACTGGTATGATTCCGGCACGAACCAGCGACGGGTGGTTACGTCGGCCAACTCTTCGCCGACAATGGGCTCCTTGGTGTCTGGATCGGTAGAGCCTTCCTTCTCGCAGATGGCGACACGGTCACCCCATGCCTTACGGTTAGATTCGGGAGCGGAAGAGTTGGTGTCACAAGCAATGAAAGCTCCAACACGCTCCGGGTGGAGGAGAGCAGTGTTCAAAACGGTCACACCACCCAGGCTGACACCGATCAAACGAGCGGCCTTGGGAGGCACACGCAAAGCCTCCAGCAATGTAGTCAGATCAGAGGCCAGCAAATCGATGTTGACAGGCTGCTCACCACTTTGCGAGCGTCGGCCTCTAGTCAAATAGCGCACGACACGGTAACGCTGATTCTGTTGATGAGCAAAGAAGGCGCCAACGAAACGATCCCAGATGTTCCAGTTGACCAGGATGGAGTTGCTCAGAACGACGACAGGTGCGTAGGGGTCAGTGCTACCCTCCAGCCGGTAAGGGATTTCAACACCATCAGAAGTAGTGATGAACGACTCGACAGCCGGGTGGGCGGTCGAGGGAAATGTGCGAGTACGGCCATCATTGGAGTTCCAAGGCCCAACAACATCCGGAGCAGCTAGCGAGGTGAGCTCACGGGGAGCAGGGCCGAAGGTGTAGTACCACTCATATACGCGACGCTTCTTAGAGGTGACCACATCCCTCATGAGACGCGATCCCCATGGGGTATTCATGGCCGCCTTGTGGGCATCGCCTCCAAGACCATTGATGGGAGCATACTCGTGAAGAGCCAGCGATTCGCGCGGGGCCGCGGAATCGATCGCCGCAGTGACAAACCGGCGACTCCGGCGCCATCCAGGCACACGGGAGAGCATATCGAAGTGTTCCTCGCGGTACCATTTTTCCAGGTCGGCTTGTTTGGCGGGGTCTGGGTGAGTGGCAACTCGGACGGCGATAAGGACGCTACCCCGGGTCTCGGCATCTGTATCGGCTTGATCTTCTAGCGGGCGGAAGCCTGGGCTGGTGCGCTCATCGACTAGATCGTACAATAAGCGGCCGACATCGATTTGGGCCATAGTTTTCTTCTCCCGCTCAGTCTTAATCAAGTCGGTTCTTAGATCCAAGTACGTCTGGCGGGTCAACTCGTCCATGTCGGTAATATCGTACAAAGCCACATATTCAGGCCGCTCTCCATCGGTGGCACGGAAGCGAAAACCATTGGTGACAAAGGGCAATCGCAGACGTAAAGGTCCATGTTCAGTGTTGTACCAGTCGTGGAACTGGGTGTCCGGCAGCGAGGCGTTAGGCTGCATTGTCACGTAGAGAAGACCGGGAGTAGGCATAATGAAGACCTTGAGAAAAAAAATTCCAAATTCAACAGACAACACAGAGAAGGCATTAAAAAGAAGCGAAAGATCCCAAAGACTTAAGAATATATCGGCATTCTAAGAATTGCCCCTCATCCGGGTGAAAGCAGAACCCGAACTCGACTGCCGATGATATTTCCCTTTTCGGCTTTTTCCTTTTTTTATATAGTTATATCCCTTGAATAACTACATTCTACCATAATCACACCAATATGTATCGTTACCATATATAACATTGCATTTGCTGTACATTTTGATCATCATTTATTCTAATTTATTCTAATTTCTTCAATCATACCAGATGGCATTCATACCAAACCCTTGCTCCGGAATATCCACACGCGCAACGCGTGCCAGCTTCTCATCACGCCAGCGGTACATCTCAACAAATCCGAGTTGGTCATCGCACAGTGCGAGCCACTCATCACTAAAGTCGCAGGGGCTGACGGCGTTGGAGTGACCACCACTAGTTGAGGTGGGGTTGATGAAGAGCTGGCGCTCGATCTCGCCATGTGAGCCGAGCTTGAACGCAGTGATGTAGCCAGTCACGTCGAAATGGTTTGACCGAGTAGTGGCGAAAAGGTATTCTCCACCCTTGGTGCAAAACGTGACATCTCCGCGATACTTGTTGCGTGGTGGAAGGCCTAATGAGAGGTTAGTTGTTAGTTGCCATTGACATCGGTCGCATTTGTCCAGGGGTCGTGGGACTCACCAGAAGGCAGTAATGGGTAGGTAATGTGAGTGAATACTGGCTTGTGGGTGCGCTCATCGATCACGTAGACTGCCAGTCGATTGCCCGATTCCATCAGCACGTATAGGTACTTGCCGCTCGG